CCTGAGCACCGGAAGGCCTTTCAGCGGGCCTCCGTCGTGGTGCCGGGGGCCGTTCTCGTCCGCCACGACACAGTTCAGGGCTAGCCAGTTGGCGTGCAGGCAGCCGCTGGCGAAGTCCCACTGTCCGGTTACCGTGTAGCCACCGTCAGTGATTCTCGCGGTTCCGAGAGGGCGGAAGGAGCCCGCGCCCCGGAGGGTGGGAGGGGTCCGACATCTCCCCCTGCCACGTGGTGTCCAGCCAGCCCGTGAACAGGCTGAGGGACCCGGCGATGAAGCAGCACCAGCCCACCGACCCATCGGCCATCGCAAGTTCCTCGACTATGCGAAAGGCGGAGACGGGGTCAAGCTCCAGACCGCCGAGGGAGCTGGGCATGTAGGTGCGGAACAGCCCGGCGTCGTCCATCGCCGTTACCAGCGACGCAGGCAACCGCCGGTGCTGGTCCAGCTCGTCACGCGCTGCAAGTATTTGTGGCCGCAGCGCTCTTGCTGCGGCCACCATGTCTCGCGTGGATGCGGTCGTCATTCGTACGCCCTCACCCTAGCCCTCTCCCCCAGGGAGAGGGAATTTTTGAAGAGCCTCTCCCAAGGGGATGGGGGGATTAGTACGTATCCCTATCTCTCCTGGGGGATGGACTCAATTTGGTGCTAGGCGGAGGTGCATGCGATGGCCTTTAACTTGGCGCCATTCCCGGAAGTTCGTGGCCCTGCCAGGTCGCGCCGACGGGGTCGTGGGTGCGAAGACCTTGCCCTTGCGGGTGTAGAGTCACACCGTCCCTGGGTCGCTCGCTCGTTGACGGCGTTCCAAGGTGGTGCTGTGGGGTGTACCCTGGTCGAAGAACCGGCTCCAGGACTCGCCGGCGTCGCGGTGAGCAGGCAAGCACGACCGCCCATCTACATTTGCGCTGCCGCGAAGTTCGCATCCGCGACGCACGCATATAGGTGCACTGCGGGATCGTGGAGCGCAACCACATCGACGCCCGGAGTTGCGAGAATGCTGCAAGAAGATTTCTCGAATTGGCAGATCGTACCCAGCTCTGGCCACCGGCTCGCGGAGTGTCGCCAGACGCCGGTGCGTTTGGGATGACCACACCTGATCGCTGGCTGCCCGGTCACCCGTGCAGGTACCAGCAGGTCAACGGCGCCTTCGAAGACGCACTGTTGACGATGTCCAGTTCATTGCCGCCGCGGATGCTGTGGCCCGCGCCGCCGACCAAAAAGTCATGCCTGCGCGTACAGCTGGTTGTGTCGGTGCTCTCGATGCCGATGGCCCAGGATGCGGGTTTGCAAGGCCATCTGCACGGCACTCGGGGTTGCGCGACGGTGGACAGTACTGCCAGTCCTCTCGCCGCCGTCGGTGTCTCTTGAGATCCTCGGAGCCCTCGGTGCCCAGGAACATGATGTTGGCGTCGTGAGGATGGAACTTGATGGACCAGACGATGCGTCCCTCGGTCATGTTCATGCGCTCGAAGCTGTCGCCGCCGTCCTTGGAGCGATAGATGCCGCGCTGGGTGCCGACGAAGATGGTCTGCGAGTCATTGGGATGCACCACGATTTCACGCACCTGGGGGGAGGGAGGCATGCCCTTGGCCAGCTTCTCCCAGCGGGTATCGTTGGCCTCTTTGCGATAGAGCCCGTCGGCCTCGGCGCCGACATAAATCAAAGTCTTGTCTGCCATAACGCTTTCCTCCATATCTGTCATTCTGTCCGGTTATGGCCCAATTTCATCAGACGCGCACAGCCTTGTCAATTCCAGAGTTCCAGTGTCGGTCGGCTAGGCATCCCGGCCAGCGTCAGTGCATACACCCTGGAGGCGCCGGCGGCCTTGAAAAGAGGGCGAAAGCGCATTCGGAGAGCGTGCTGCCTGTGGTGGCGACATCGTCGATGAGAAGGATAGTCAATCGATGCTCCTCTCGCGGCATCCTGAACCGCCGAAACGTTGGTGCGCCGCGCCCGCTCCACCTCGTCGTGCTTCGATTGTGCCGGGCCGTCCTTGGTAGCGGACAAAGCAGTGTCTTCCCTCTCACGGGTAATCCGAGTGCGATCTCCGACTCCGCGTGCCAGGAGTGACGATTGGTTGTAACCACGGCTTCGAAGCCTCCGGGAGTGCAGCGGCACTGGCACCCGACGACGTCCCGACCGACAAGCCCACCCCCCCCCCCCCCCCCCCCCCCCCGCCGACCCCCACCCCCCACCCCCCCCCCCCCCCCCCCCCCCCCACCCCCCCCCCCCCCCCCCCCCCCCCCCCCCCCCCCCCCCCCGCCCCCCCCCCCCCCCCCCCCCCACCCCCCCCCCCCCCCCCCCCCCACCCCCCCCCCCCACCCCCCCCCCCCCACCCCCCCCCCCCCCCCCCCCCCCCCCCCCCCCCCCCCCCCCCCCCCCCCCCCCCCCCCCCCCCCCCCCCCCCCCACCCCCCCGCCCCCCCCCCCCCCCCCCCCCCCCCCCCCCCCCCCCCCCCCCCCCCCCCCCCCCCCCCCCCCCCCCCCCCCACCCCCCCCCCCGCACCCCCCCCCCCCCCCCCCCGCACCCCCCCCCCCCCCCCACCCCCCCCCACCGCCCCCCCCCCCCCCCCCCCTCCCCCCCCCCCCCCCCCGCCCCGCCCCCCCCCCCCCCAGCTTTTTCCTTTCCCTTTCTTTTCCCTCCTCCCTTACAGCGCATCCGAGGAGGCGCGAACGCCACGGTACTTGAGCGCGTGTATCGCCTCGCGGACCGGGCCTTCGAATTTGAAGGGGGACCTCAGGGACTCAAAGTCCACGGGGTACTGAAGGCACCACCGGCATACGCCGTCAACACCGGGCGCGGCACAGATGCGGCAGTAGGGTGGCGCAAGCCACTCCAGCCCATCAACGCACTGTTAGCCAGATGATCCCCCCCTCGCGCCCGCAAGGCCGCAGCAGTGCATGGGGAACACGAGGTCAAGTGCGGAGCGGGCAAGTCTGGACAGCAAGGGATTTCACCCCCTCCCTAACCCTCCCCCTCAGGGGGAAGGGACTCGCTCGGCGTCTCCACTGGGAGCGGCGGCTGGCTCTTCCACCGGGAGAGAATCTGGGTGTCGCGGGAGAAGGCTAGTTCCGGCAGGTCGTCGGGCGAGAAGAAAGCGGTTTCCAGGGCTTCAGGGCCAGGGGCCAGCGTGCCGCCGGTCTCGCGAGCGGTGAATGCGGCCACGATCACCTGATCGCCGGGGAGAGAGAAGAGGCCGAGCAGACCATCCACGGTCACCTCCAGGCCGGTCTCTTCCCAGGCCTCGCGCGCCGCTGCCGACTCGACCACCTCGCCGCGGTCGACGAAGCCGCCGGGCAGGCTCCAGAGGCCGTAGCCGAGGTCGGTGGCGCGCCGGATCATCAGCACCCGGCCGTTCCGGGATATGACGCAGACGGCGGCGACCTTGGGGTCGTAGAACACCACCCTGCCGCACTGGGGGCACACGGGCCGTTCGGTGCCGAACACTTCGCGAAGTTCCAGGGGGGTGGCGCATGAGGCGCAGTAATTGTCGCCTGGAGAAGTCAATGCGCTAATCGTTCCTGTGGTTCACAGGATTGCCACTGGTTGCAAGGAGGGTGGGATATATGCTGATCCTGCTGCCATTCCTTCACCCATTCCTTCGCCCATTCCTTCACCGGCTGACACGAGTTGAACTGGAGGCTGCTCCGCTGGACAGGTCAGCCGCCGGTCCACATTGGGTTGTTTTTTTTGGGGGGTTTTTTTTTTTTTTTGTTTTTTTTTGTTTTTTTTTTTTTTTTTTTTGTTTTTTTGGTGTTTTTTTTTTTTTTTTTGTTTTTTGTTGTTTCTCTGGCGTGGTGGCAGCCGTGGCGATAGTGGCGTTCGCGATCGGTACGCTGGAGTATACCAAGACGCGGGGCAAGCTGTTGCTGACAGCCCTGCTGGTGGGCGGCTACTTCGTGACCATGCTGGCTGCCACGGGCATTCCTGCAGTGGCGATCATGCAGCAGCTGCGAGCGGCGACGCAGTGCCTGGCGACGGGGGCCATGTTCCTGCTGCTGCTGGGACTGTGGGGGGCACCCGACTCCGATGCCTACTGGAAGGCCGCTTCCATTGCGACCTTGCTGGCCATGGGAATGGTGTGCTCGGGTCTGGCCACCAGGGCGGGCCTTGGCGATGCGGCGGTGCGGGCCTTGGCACTGACTTCGGCAGCTGCGGCCGGTTTGCTACTGTGTGGATGTTTTTTTTTGGTTTTTGGTTTTTGGCCCCCCCCCCCCCCCCTCCGCCCCCCCCCCCCCCCCCCCCCCCCCCCCCCCCCCCCCCCCCCCCCCCCCCCCCCCCCCCCCCCCCCACCCCCCCCCGCCCCCCCCCCCCCCCCCCCCCCCCCCCCCCCCGCCCCCCCCCCCCCCCCCCCCCGCCCCCCCCCCCCCCCCCCCGCCCCCCCCCCCCCCCCCCCCCCCCCCCGCCCCCCCACCGCCCCCGACCCCCCCCCCCCCCCGCCCCCACCCCCCCACCCCCCCCCCCCCCCCCCCCCCCCGCCCCCGCCCCCCCCCCCCCACCCCCCCCACCCCCCCCCCCCCCCCCCCCCCCCCGCCCCCCCCCCCCCCCCCCCCCCCCCCCCCCTCCCCCCCCCCCCCCCCCGCCCCCCCCCCCCCCCCCCCCCCCCCCCCCCCCCCCGCGCCTCCCCCCCCCCCCTCCGCCACGCCCGCCCCCCGCTGACCAACCCCCCGCCCCCCCACCCCCCCCCCCCCCCCCCCTAGCCCGCCCCACCCCCCCCCCCCCCACCCCCCCCCCCCCCCCCGCCCCCCCCCCCCCCCCCCCCCCCCCCCCGCCCTCGCGCCCCCACGCCTCCCCCCCCCCCCACCGACGCCCCGCCCCGCCCCCCCCCCCCCCCCCCCCCTCACTGGGGATAGCCCTGGAGATCAGGCTCCCGCTGTACTGGTGGGTATTCGGCCTGCTGGTGGTGTCGTGGCTTGCGGCCAGCGCCGCGATACCGGCCACAGCCTTCTTGCGCTTGCGGCGAAGGAAGAAGCCACCTTGAAGCATTCCCAACCAAAGCCTTCCTAACCGGCTGACAGTAGGGCCTCCACCGCATCCCTTGTCTCATCGATCCTGGGCCCCCACGTGTGGGAAACGGCAAGGGCGCCGGCAGCGCAGGCACGGCGGACCGCCAGTTCCAGCGGCCGGCCCTCGGCGAGGAAGACGGCCAGGGCTCCGTTGAAGGCGTCGCCGGCCGCCACGGTGTCCAGCGCCTCCACAGGGAAGGCTGTCTGGTGGCCCTTGAACCGCTCGTGAGATACGCTTTCGTCGCCCTGCCAGCCTGTGGCGAAAACTGCGCCCTGCGCTCCCATCTTGACGATGGCGGTACCGGCACCCCGGCGTAGCAGTTCCCCGGCGGCCCGCTCCGCGGATTCCCTACCATCAACAGGAAAGCCCACCAGGGCTTCGGCCTCGGTCTCGTTGGGGGTTACGATGTCGGCCAATTGCAGGAGTTCCTCGGGAAACGGCCGGACGGGGCCGGGGTCAAGCATCACCGTGGTCCCGGCTGCGCTAGAGCCCCGTCCTCGGCGAGCGTGTGTCGAGTGTGCAACCGTCAAGCTGCAGCATCAGGACCGATGCACCTGCTATCGCTGCGATCGCTCGGGCCGCCTCCGCCTCAGCGCAGGTGGCGTTGGCGCCAAGTACCTGCACGATGCGGTTCTGGGCCGAGCCGTCGATGCTGATAACGGCGATGCCGGAGATCTCACCTGGCCAGACGGCGACGCGGGAGACGTCGATTCCCGCCTGCCGCATTCCTTCCAGAAGCTGTGGACCGAATATATCGTCGCCTACGCGCCCGACCATGGCGGTCCTCCCACCCATGCGGGCCGCGGCCACGGCCTGGTTCGCTCCCTTGCCGCCGGCGTAGGTAACGAAGTGGCGGCCAACGACCGTCTCTCCGTCCCCCGGGAAGCGGTCGGAATAGGTGACCAAGTCCATGTTGATGCCGCCCAGCACCACGATCCCCGGTGCGCTGTTGTCGTTCATGACTGGTCCTGCCTGCGTATTTGGCCTTGGACAACGCAAGCCTAGCATAGCCCTGCCTGCCCAGGATCTTTTTACTATTGGAGTCTGCTTTGCCTGGGTATTTCCGGGGGGCTATCTTGTGGTTGACAGCGTTGCTTCTTGAGAGGATTTCACCCCCATCGAAATGATGGGCAACGAGGGCAACCACAAGGGTTGCCCCTACCTCCGAAGGATGTCCCGCAAGAGCGTCCCTGGTGGACGCCCATTGAGTACGAAACTATCGTAGTCATGGCTACCCATCATTGCAAAGATGTCGTACTACTAGGGTTTCACCACCACCCCTTCGGCAAGCTCAAGACAGGCCTAACCCTCTCCCTCAAGGGAGAGGGAATAATCGAGAGGGCCGGTGTCCGCAGTACCGCCGGTTGACACTCTCTGCCGTAGACTCCTATAATCGCTCAAATTACCCGGACCTCCTGGCCGGAGGACGGTCAGCTTTAACAATTCAAATGTTTCTGGGCACGTAGGGGAGCTCGGTTGAGCCGGGCTGAGAGGGTGACCGTATGCCACCGACCCTTGCGAACCTGATCTGGGTAATGCCAGCGTAGGGAATCGGCGAAGGTCTAGTCATTTACATGGGCCGCCAGTCATTTTCGCTGGCGGCCTTGCTTTTTCTGCGCCAATCGTCTCGCAGAGATTTTCACATCGTGGAGGAACGCTATGGTTCAGACGGAATACACCAGCCAGTTCCAGGGGAAGTCCAGCTTCCCGGCCAGCCAGAAGGTCTACAAAGAGGGGTCTCAGCCATCCATACGGGTGCCCTTCCGCCAGGTGGCCCTCACCCCCACCACCGGGCGCTTCGGGCAGGAAGAAAATGCGCCGCTGTCCATCTACGACACCAGCGGCCCCTACTCCGACGCAGCCGCTTCCCTTGACCTGCGCCAGGGCCTCCCCGCCATGCGCCGCGAGTGGATCATGGCCCGCGGCGATGTAGAGGAATACGACGGCTACGGCGTGCCGCTGCAGGGCAAGAACGTGGCCCAGCCCTTTCCCGCCCTCGCGCGCAAGCCGCTGCGGGGCAAAGCTGGGATGGCTCCGACCCAGATACGCTACGCCCGAGAGGGTGTTGTCACTCCCGAGATGGAATTCATTGGCATACGCGAGGGCATCGACCCCGAGTATGTAAGGGACGAAATTGCCCGGGGCCGGGCCATCATCCCCTCCAACATCAACCACCCGGAATCCGAGCCGATGATTATCGGGCGCAATTTCCTGGTCAAGGTCAACGCCAACATCGGTAACTCAGCCATCACCTCCTCCATTGAAGAGGAAGTGGAAAAGATGCTGTGGGCCACCAAGTGGGGCGCCGACACCGTGATGGACCTGTCCACCGGCCGGGACATCCACACAACCCGTGAGTGGATCCTGCGCAACTCGCCAGTCCCCATCGGCACGGTGCCGATCTATCAGGCCCTCGAGAAGGTCGGCGACGATCCCTCGGAACTGACCTGGGAGCTGTACCGCGACACCCTGATTGAGCAGGCCGAGCAGGGCGTGGACTACTTCACATCCACGCCGGCGTGCGGCTGCAGTATGTGCCGATGACCGCCAACCGCATCACCGGGCATCGTGTCCCGCGGCGGCTCGATCATGGCCGGCTGGTGCCTGGCCCACCACGAGGAGAACTTCCTCTACGTGCATTTCGAAGAAATCTGCGAAATCATGCGGGCCTACGACATCTCCTTCTCGCTGGGCGACGGCCTCCGCCCCGGCTGCATCGCCGACGCCAACGACGAGGCGCAGTTCAGTGAGCTGGAGACCCTGGGCGAGTTGACCAAGTCGCCTGGGAACACGACGTGCAGGTGATGATCGAGGGCCCGGGCCATGTCCCGATGCACAAGATCAAGGAGAACATGGACAAGCAGCTGGAAGTGTGCCACGAGGCGCCCTTCTACACGCTTGGCCCGTTGGTCACCGACATCGCGCCGGCCTACGACCACATCACCTCGGCATCGGCGCGGCCATGATCGGAATGTTCGGCACCGCCATGCTGTGCTACGTCACTCCCAAGGAACACCTGGGGCTGCCCCACCGCGAGGACGTGAAGACCGGCGTGATCACCTACAAGATCGCCGCCCACGCCGCCGACGTGGCCAAGGGCCACCCATGGCCCAGCAGTGGGACGACGCGCTGTCCAAGGCCCGGTTCGAGTTCCGCTGGGATGACCAGTTCAACCTGGCCCTGGACCCGGACACGGCCCGCGACTACCACGACGAGACGCTGCCGGCCACGGGCGCCAAGGTGGCCCACTTCTGCTCGATGTGCGGGCCCAAGTTCTGCGCCATGAAGATCACGCAGGACGTACGGGAGTACGCCAGGGACCAGGGCTTAACCGTGGAAACGGCCTTCGACAAGGGCATGGAAGAGAAGTCCAAGGAGTTCCGCGAAGCCGGGAGCAAGATTTACCAGAAGGCATAGCCTTTCAATCGGATAGTGAAACCGGATTCACGGGGCGATTTGCAAATCGCCCCTTTTTTGTTGAAGATAGATGAGTAGCTTTGAGGGAGGACCACCAAATGGCGATCTACTTTCTGCTGGGAAGGTTGAGCGGCGAGGGCCAGAGGATGCTGCACAGCAATCCAGACCTGGTCTCCGACACCGCGGCTACGCTGGACGTGGAAGGCGCGAAAATCCTAGGCCAGTACGCCGTGCTGGGCCACTACGACTTCATCACCATGGTGCTTGCCGAGGAGAATGAGGCAGTCGCGAGGCTCTCCGCCGAGTTCGGCGCGCAAACCGGGCTGCACTTCGAGACCCTTTCGGCCGTAGCCGTCGGATTCCTCGCCGACAATGATCCTTCGGGCGAATCGCCCGACCGCGCAGCCGTGCAGATGGCAACGGGCAACGGCGCCGACCGTTGACGCCGTATGCCGAACGCCAGTGGCGCAGCCGACTCATATTTCAATACCCCTGCGCCACTGCGCTATAATTGTCTGTGGCTTCTTTCCGGCGCCCCCATCGGGGGTGCTGTCATTTCACAACCCTTACCCTGGTGGTCGCTGCCGATGTTCAGTACCCTGTTTCCAGCCGTGTCAGCTTTCCCGAACTCGACGCCCGATTTCCTGAGCACTGGAAAGAGCGGGACGTGTTCCGCCGTGCCGGAACGAGCGGGAGGGCGCGCCGCGTTCATGCTCTACGACGGGCCTCCCACCGCCAACGGCAGCCCGGGCATCCATCACGTGCTGGCCCGCATTTTCAAGGACGTCATCTGCCGCTACCGCACCATGAAGGGCTACCAGGTGCTGCGCAAGGGCGGCTGGGACACCCACGGCCTGCCCGTGGAGCTGGGTATCGAGCAGGACTGGGCCTCACCAGCAAGCGCGACATCGAGGAGTACGGGATCGAAGAGTTCAACCAGAGATGCCGCGAGAGCGTCTTCCGCTACTGTCCAAAGAGTGGGAGGAGATGACCGACCGCATCGGCTTCTGGGTGGACATGGACGACCCTACGTCACCCTGGAGAACGACTACATCGAGTCGGGCTGGTGGATTCTCAAGACGCTGTGGGACCGGGGGCTGCTCTACCAGGGTATGCGGGGGCACGCCCCACTGCCCGCGATGCGTCACCAGCCTCAGCTCCCACGAGCTGGCCCTGGGCTACCAGGAAGACACGCCGACCCGTCGGTGTTCGTAAAGTTCTCGTCGAGTCCGCAGGTACCCGCCCATCCATCCCCGACCCACTGGACGTCGGCGGCATCCCCGCCTTCCTGCTGGCGTGGACGACGACGCCCGTGGACCCTCCCCGGAAACACCGCCCTTGCAGTTGATCGGAATCGGAGTATTCCGTCGTCGGAGCTGGAGGAAAACGGTCCAGGGAACGCATCGCTCTGGCCACCGCGCTGGTGGAGGACAACATCCGGCAGGAGCACACCGTCGTCGGGACGCTGCCGGGGCAGCGAGCTGGTTGGCCTCGCCTACACACCCTTGTATCCGCCCGCCAGTTTCGGCTCCAGGATCAGCCGTTTCGAGTCGGGAGTGCTGTCATCGTCGGATGGGGAGCAGGATTTCGCTCCCAGGTGGTTGCCGCCGACTTCGTTTCCATGGAAGACGGCACCGGGCATCGTCCACATCGCGCCGGCCTTCGGTGACGAGGACCTGGGGCTGGGACGGGAGAAGGGGCTGAACTTCGTGCAGCCGTGGACCTGCAGGGCATCATCACCGGCGACTACCCCTTCGCTGGGCAAGTTCGTGAAGGACGCCGACCCGGAGATCATGGCGATCTCAAGGAGCGCGGCCTGCTGCATCATCGCGACATCTACCACCACACCTACCCCTTTCTGCTGGCGCTGCGACACGCCGCTGCTCTACTACGCCAAGAGCTCGTGGTACATCCGCACCTCGGCGCTGAAGGACGACCTCGTTGACGGGCAAAACAGCCGCATCAACTGGTATCCCGACCACATCAGGAGGGGCGCTTCGGCGAGTGGCTGCGCAACAACGTGGACTGGGCCATCTCCCGCGAGCGTTACTGGGGAACCCCCATCCCAATCTGGCAGTGCGACAGTTGCAGCAACCAAGCCTGCGTCGGTGGCCGGGACGAGCTGAAGGAACGGCTGGGGCCGAGCGCCAGCACCGTTGACAGCCTGGACCTGCACCGCCCTTATGTCGACGACATCACTTTCCCCTGCGACCAGTGCGACGGTGTCATGTCACGCGCATCCCGGAGGTGATGGACTGCTGGTTCGACTCGGGGGCTATGCCCTTCGCCCAGTCCCACTACCCCTTCGAGAACCCGGACATGGAGAAGGAGGGGCTGTTCCCGGCCGACTACATCTGCGAGGCAGTGGACCAGACCCGCGGGCTGGTTCTACAGCCTGCACGCGCTGTCGACACTGCTGAAAGGCGAGCCGTCCTACAAGAACGTCATCTGCCTGGGCCTGATCCTGGACGAGCGCGGGCGCAAGATGAGCAAGCGCGTGGGCAACGTGGTGGAGCCGCTGCCGCTGCTGGACGAGCACGGCGCCGACGCACTGCGCTGGTACCTGTTCACCGCATCGCAGCCCGGCGAGGCTCGCCGCTTCTCGTCGCGGCTGGTCAACCAGACGCTGCGGCAGGTGCTGCTCACCCTGTGGAACATCTACTCCTTCTTCACCGGCTATGCGACCATCGACAAGTTCGACCCGTCGCAGAAGCCCGCTGGCTGGAAGCCGGAAAACGAGCTGGACCGCTGGGTGCTCTCGGAGCTCAACGAGCTGGTGGCCGAGGTCGACCGCTGCATGGAGAACTACGACCCCACCATGCAGGGCCGACGCATCCAGGAGTTCGTTGACCGGCTATCCAACTGGTACGTGCGCCGCAGCCGACGCGCGCTTCTGGCGCAGCGACGAGGGCGACGCCGACAAGCTGTCGGGCTACTACACGCTGCACACCTGCCTGGTGACCGTGGCCAAGCTGATGGCGCCGCTGGCACCCCTTCGTGTCCGAGGAGATCTACCAGAACTTGGTGTGCTCCGTCGACCCGGACGCTCCGGACAGTGTCCACCTCGCTGACTACCCCGTCGCCGACGATTCGCTGGTGGACGACGACCTGATGGAGGCAACACGGCTGGCCATGCGGATTTCCAGCATGGGCAGGGCCGCGCGCTCCAAGTCCGGCCTCAAAGTGCGCCAGCCCCTGGCCTCGGCGGCAATCAGGACGCGCACCCCATCGGAGCGGGCATTCGTCGCGCAGGTTCGCCCACAGATTCTCGATGAGCTGAACATCAAGGACATCGAGCTTCTGGACGACGACTCTGCTTTGGTCCAGCAGGCGCAGGAGCAGGCGGGCGGTGAGCCCGAGACTGTTGTATCAGTCGGGCACTACACCGCGTCGCTGGAGGCAGGGTACCTGGTGGCAATGAACGGAGAGATCACTCCGGAATTGGCGGAAGAGGGCATGGCCCGCGAGCTGGTACACCGCATCCAGGGCCTGCGCCGGGGCGCCAACTTTGAGGTCACCGACCACATTCAGACTTGGTACGAGGCGCCTGAAGAACTGTCACAGGTAATGCGCGGCAATTTCTCTGACTACATCCGCGAGGAAACGCTCAGCGACTCGGTGTTGGCTGGCCCTCCACCCGAAGGTGCCAAGTCCGAGACTGCCAAGATCGAGGGACAGGAAATCACCCTCGCCGTCCGACGGGTATAGGCCACATACATCGTGCCCGAGCTGCCCGAAGTAGAGAGCGTTCGGCGCAGCCTGTTGCGGTCCGGTCTCGCTGGGCGCACGATAACCAGCGCCGAGATTGGATGGGCCAAGACGGTCAAGCATCCGTCGGCGGATGAGTTCGCCGCGTCGCTGGCAGGGCGCACGGTCGAGGACGTCGGGCGACGCGCCAAGTACCTGCTGTTTCCACTGGCGGGTCAGCCGGAAGCCACATTCGTAGCGCACCTGGGGATGACCGGCAACCTGGTAGTGCAGCCCGGCGAACAAGAACAGCACCCGATGACGCGCCATGTCTTCGCGCTGGACGACGGACGGGAGCTGCGCTTTGTCGACGGACGCAAGTTCGGCAAACTGTGGCTGGCCGACGATCTCGGCAAGATCCTGCCGCCGCTGGGCCCCGAGCCGCTGGGAGACGAGTTCACGACCGAATGGCTGGCGGACTCACTGGCAAAACGCAATGCGCCGGTCAAGGCGCTGCTGCTGGATCAGTCCATCGCCGCCGGGATTGGCAACATCTACGCCGATGAGGCGTTGTTCCTGTCCGGCATCCGGCCCGACCGTCCGGCATCTGAATTATCGGCGGACGAGATGGTGCGGCTGCGCCAGGGGATCATCGACTGCTTAAACGCCGGGTTCGCCGTCTACGACCGCGCCCGGGACCTCCGCTGGCCCGAGCCACCAGAGCCCATGGGCACCTGGAGCCATCCCCGCGACGCCGGTACTCCCTGCCCCAACTGCGGAGGCGAGATTACATCAACCCGCATACGGGCGCGGGGGACATGGTTCTGCCAGGGGTGCCAAGTTTAGAGCGAGCGGCGTAGTGCTTTCGGCCGAATATATCGGAGTGAGTTCCGGTTCTCGTGAGAATCAGAAAATCTTCGCCTTATTCCCAGACCAGCAGCCAATCCAGTTCAATATGGCACTCCCAATGGCCGATCCAGTTGCCGGTTAGCCGATAAAGGCGGCTGCTCTGCCAGCAGTTTTTCGACGATGGCTCACAGTTTCTCAGGGTCCTTTATACACCTAATTGCGCGTCTTAGGCCTCTCTCAAACTGCCTTGCGGTCAGGGCAATCGCGTCTTAACTCAGCACACATAATTGGTCTAGTGTCGGTGTATATGCGAGTGGCAGTGCCTCCTTTGGGTCCGGGTGCGAGGGTAGACGGGGGTTTGGATTCCCGCCTGCGCGGGAATGACGACAGATAGGGCCTCCGGCGTTTAAGACGCGATTTCACTGCCTTGTGGTCTGTAACCGCATTGGCTAACTGAATTCCGCCTTGAACTCTTCAAAACTGGCATACCTTTTCAAACCTTCTCTACCGCTGTCCCCCTCATTCATCGCCTCAATTGTTTCGGCGTTGGGGATGTGCGGGGAGAACGGGTCGCTGCATATTCCGGTCACCCGCTCATAAAACAGCATGATTGCCTCATCCACCGTCATTCCCCATTCCAGCAAACGGGCCTCGTCCTGCTTCTTCAACTCCGGTTCGACTTGAGCGCGAACCATTGCCGTCTTGGGCATAGGACACCACCAATGACAGATTCCTGTTGCCTATGTGCTGGCCCTGTTGGGTTTACAGCGCCGTGCCGTAGATGTGGGTAGGCACCACAACGATAGCCGAGCGGCGGTCGGTGAGCATAGCCGCGTCATATTCGTCCCAGTTGGAATGCTCCTCGCCAGCGGCGGCGCGGTAGACGTCGCGCAGGGCCATTCGCAATTCGTCGGCGGCGGTGTTGTTGGCCGACAGGATGCGTGCCTGTCCCTCCAGCACCACAAAGGGCCGCCATTCTTCGGCGGAGACCAGCAGCGAGCAGTTGGGGTTGCGGCGCAGGATGTGAAGCTTGGCCCGTGTCTCAGTGACGGTGAAGGCCACCCCGTCGGCGTAGGCGCCACAGGTTATGATACTCATCTGAGCCGCTCCGTTGCGCCGGAAGGCCGTAAGCACTCCACGGTGGTTGTTGGTGCAGAATTCGCGCACGTTGTTGGGTAGCATCACATTCCTCCAGCTTTGCCCTTGGCGGCTATATCCCATCGCGGGGGTCTCAGAATTCCACCTCGTACATGTGGTAGCGGGTGGGGTGCATGTCCAGCGACTCGTAAACCCGCTGGGCGGTGGTGTTTTCCTGTTCGACGTAGAGGCGAAGGCCGCAGACGCCGCTCGCATCCTGGGAGGCCCGGGACGTGTGGCGATGCAGCGCGGTGTAGACGCCCTGCCTCCGGAACTCCGGGCGCACGTAGACGCTCTGGATCCACCACCACAGGCCGTTTCGCCAGTCGCTCCACTCGAATGTGACCATCAACTGTCCGGCGGACCGCCCTTCAATTTCGGCCACCAAATAGAAACCGAGGGCGTCATCGGCCAAAACAGCGGCCACCCCTGGGCGCACGATCTCGGGATCGAGGGCCATCGCCTCAGTCTCGAAGGCCATGGCAATGTTGGACTCGACGATGAACGCGGCGTCGGCGGAGACGGCCCTGCGGATGCGGATGTCGGCAGCCATGCGGGTAGTTTAGCAGGCTGACGGGTTCAACGCAGATAGATGGGAAACCCCCAGGGCATTCGCGTTTTGGTGACGTTTGCCGCTTGCCAAGCCTCGTAACGACTCCGTACCATATTCTCAGGGCCTGATGCTGGCAACAACGTTCCTGGTAGATTTTGAGGCCATCTGGCAGTCTGCCAACAAGGCAATACTCGAGGGTGGGATGCAATGGGACGGAATGGGACGGATTTTGAAAATTTCTGTCTCGCGACACCCTGAAAGCGGGATTTCAGCTTTAATTCCGGCACTTATCTAACCGGAAATGGGACAGGATGGGACAAAATGGGACTCAGTGGGACAAATTCAGTCCCATCATTCCCGCATGGGTCCTTCCGCAAACTACACTGCGGGATCCCGGTTCCAGGTACGTCCCTCAGGTGGGCGCACCGTTGCAAATGCCCCGGCGCCCAATGCGATTTCCATGTCAGCCCCCGCGCGGTTCCTTGACCCTTGCAATTGGCCAACCATACACTAGAACAGAGAGCGAATCGATTCGGCGCATAGGGTCGCGAAATGTTTGACAATCTGACGGAACGGCTTACCGGCATATTCAACCGGCTGTCCAGCAAGGGGCGGCTGACGGACAAGGACATCGACGAGGCGCTGTCGCTGGTGCGGCGGTCGCTGCTGGAAGCCGACGTCAACTTCCGCGTTGCCCGCGACTTTGTGGCCCGAATCAAAGAGCGAGCCCAGGGCGCCGAGGTGCTGGAAAGCCTGACGCCGGGACAGCAGGTGGTCAAGATCGTCCACGAGGAACTCACCGATCTCCTGGGCGGAGGATCGGCTGGCTCGGGACGTCCCGGAATCACCCTGTCCAGCCAGCCCGTCTCGGCCCTGATGCTGGTGGGGCTGCAGGGCTCGGGCAAAGACCACCACGGCAGCCAAGCTGGCCCTCGAACAGCGCAAGCAGGGGCACCGCTCTCTTCTCATCGCTGCCGACCTGCGCCGGCCCGCAGCCATCCAGCAGCTGGAGACGCTGGGCAAGCAACTGGACATTCCGGTCTACTCGGAGGATCCAGGATCGTCCAACGCCGTCCGGGTAGCCCGCAATGGACTGGCCAGAGCCGCTGAGCTGGGCGTCAACTGGGCCATCGTGGATACCGGTGGCCGCCTGCAGATTGACGACGAACTGATGGAGGAACTGGAAGAGATCCGGGACGCCGTCAGTCCGCACGAAACGCTGCTGGTTGTGGACGCAATGACCGGCCAGGACGCGGTCAACACCGCCGAGGGCTTTCACCAGAAGGTGGGGCTCACCGGCCTGATTATGAGCAAGATGGACGGCGACGCCCGCGGCGGGGCAGCGCTGTCCATAACACGGGTAACCGGCGTGCCCATCAAATACATGGGTGTGGGAGAGCGTCCAGATGGGCTGGAGGTTTTCCACCCGGACCGGCTGGCCTCTCGTATCCTGGCCATGGGCGACGTGTTGACGCTGATCGAGCGGGCACAGGAGGCCGTCGATGAGAATAAGGCCAAGGAAATGGAGCGGAAGATCCGCCAGGCCAGCTTCGACCTGAACGACTTCCTGGACCAGCTTCAGAGCGTCAAGAAAATGGGCTCAATGGACCAGCTGATCGATATGATCCCGGGAATGGGGAGTTCCACTCGAAAGATGATGGCCGGCGATCTCGACGAGTCCAAGTTGCGGCGGATAGAGGCGATAATCCACTCGATGACGCCCGACGAGCGACAGCGCCCGGACATCATCAAACGGCAGCCGCCGTCGCCGGATTTCCCGGGGCAGCGGCACTACGCCACAGGACATCAACCAGCTACTCAACCAGTTCAAGCAAACCCAGAAACTGGTCCGCCAGATGTCCCGCTCCCGCAATCCTGCCAACCTGATGAAGATGTTCAGCCGGTAAGGGCAATCGCTCGACTGGTCTTTCAGGTCGCGCGGGAACCTTTGCCTCTACACCATTCCCGAGCGCATGGCGGCGAACAGGTAGGCGGTGGCGTAGCTGCGCCAGGGGCGCCAGCGCTCAGCCAGTTGCTCCACCTCAGCGTCGGTGACCGCCTCACCATCGCGCAGCAGCCGGGAGACGCCGCGCCGGAGTGCCAGGTCCCCCAGGGGGAGCGCATCCGGGCGAGCCAACCCCCGGACCAGCGCCCACTGCGCCGTCCAGGCGCCGATGCCGCGCAGTTTAATGAGTGTCCTAACGAATTCGTCATCGGGCAGTTCGACAAGATCCGGCCAATCGGGCTGCATAGCCGCAGCGGCCAAGCCGTGAATGTACTCGGCCTTGCGCTGCGTCAGCTTGAGGGTCCGCAGCTCCTCGGGCGACGACGCCAGGATCGCCTCGGGCCGGGGAAAGGCGTAATAGGTTGCACCGTCGAATTCTTCGCTCTGCCCAAATCGCTCGATAATCAGCGTCCGCATCATTCGGGCCACACTGGCGGAGATCTGCTGCCCAAGGATCGCCAGCGTCAGCGACTCGAACAGTGTTGCGGTACGCGGCAGGTGCAGTCCCCGGAACTGCTGCGCCAACCCTAACATCGCCGGGTCGCTCTCAGACATCTGATAGAACGGGACCATGTCCTGCTGGAGTCCCAGCATCCATTCGATCTGCGAGGCTGCCATTTGCCCATCTGCCTCTCTCAACCCCTCGCCGCGCAACTCCACTCGAAGCTCTGGGGAGTCAACGGACCCGTTGGAGTACACGGAGGCGAGGGCGAGTCGGCCGTCAAGGTCGAGGAGACGCTGGTAGACGCCGTCGCCCATGCTGTCAGCGCCGCTTCGAGCCTGAAAATAGGTGTGGTAACCGGCGGTCAGCTCAAAGTCGAAAGGGGGAAGTGGATGGAAACAGAAGGCGAGCGTGCTCGCAGCCATGGTCAGCCGGCCAACAAGGGCGCAGAGCTGAGGACCGTGTACCTGGCGCCCGATGGATGCAGCTCGCTGCGCATCACCTCGACCGATTCCACCTGCCACGAAACCGGTTCGGGTGGCTGCACGGCAGACATCACCTCGGCGATACGAGCTCGCTGTCCATCGGAGATGGTACGGCGAGGCCGCCCCAGTGTAATGTGAGGTCGAAAGGGGCGTTCTTCCGGCGGGTAACCCAGGGCAGTGATGGAGCCTTCCGCGGCCAGTTGCAGTTGAGAAAGAGCGTCCAGGTCGCTCTCAACTGCCGCCCACAGTACCCGGGGAGCGCGACGGTTGGGGAACATCCCGAGGCCTGACAGGGCCAGGGAGAATGGCCCGTACTCCCCAACGAACCGTTCGACGCATTCCGCCAGAGGGGGGACATTCGACGATGGGATGTTGCCCAGGAACTTGAGGGTCAGATGCATCCCGCTGGGATCGGCCCACTGGATTCCGTCTGGAATCTCTCGGCGGATGCGAGCGACGACGTCGATCAGCTGTTGACGCGCCTCAGGGGACAGGCCAACGGCGACGAAGACACGAACAGTGTCAGCAGGGCCGGTCACGACAGCGCCGCTTCCCGCCCGAGGGCTTGTTTCAGCCTGAAACGGGCGGCAACTAGATCGATGTAGGACTTCACCGTGCAATCCAGTCCGCTATTCTCGTTGTAGACAGCCGGAGCGAAGCAGTTCACACGGCCTTCGCTCTGGTATTTCTCAGCCTGTTCCTGGGATCCCTCAGCATACACGGCTATCGAGAGACCGCCGAGGTCCTTTACCAGACGGAAACAGGGCACGTCAGTCTCGCCATCACCAATATAGATCATGTTCTCGAAGGGAATGGGCCGCTCACTCTGTGGCACGAATTTGTTGATGATAGAACTGTCCTTCCAGTCGTGGGCGCCCTTGTTGATGCGAAAGAGATACTGCGTCTTCGTAGTGAAGTTAATGGCGACCGCAGGCCAGACCGCGAAGCCATCGGCGTCGTAGAGGAATTTCGACGCATAGATCCTAGCGAAACTGTCAGCTATGGCACTGCCCTCTATTATCTCGGAATTGCCCGAGGAAATGACGTAGTGTTCAACCTGAACGCCTCTTTCGCTGCCATAGGCATCCATGCGGGAGAACCAGCCCTCAACTCCGGGGAAGAATTTGATCTCATTGCTGCGGGAGACCAGGTCGTCCCGCCTGACCGGCATTCCGGCCGCCCTGGCTTTTTGGAGCATTACGAACATGTAGGCGAGGATTTCGTCGGCGTGGTTTTCCTCGGCAAGCGCATCCACATCCCGCCAGAAATCTTCGGCAGTCATCCCGATGTCGGGGATGAACTGCCGCTCCTGCATGTTGCCGGGGGCAAGCGTCCCATCGAAGTCGTAGATTATGGCCAGCGGTATGGGCCGAGCGGGCATCGGCGGCTCCTGCACAATCGGTGCGCCGTCATTTTACGTCAAGCTGAGTCTGGATCAACTATGCCTGATCCTGCAAATTTGCGGCAAGCAGGTTGTACCATCCCGCCAAGTCATCCAGCGAATATCTGGCATTGGCCGGGCTGGGGTTGGGGACAACGAATACCGGAGAAGAGCCGATACTGCGCGGTTGCAGACCCAGACCCGGGGCGGATTTTTCGCCTTCCGCATACTGCAGGTACGCCTTGTAGGCCATCAGACCATGGAAGCAAACGAGGCTGGGCTGATATCGAACCAGCTTCTCCCGCAGGAGCGGGGCCCATTGACGGTAGTCCGCGGCCTTCAGCACGTTGCCCTGCGGCGTGGGGCGTTTGACCACGTCGGTAAAGCCGATTCCGTACTCCTGCAGCGCCGTGTCGTCCGCTGGAGTGCATCCGCGGGCCATGGCGGAGGGCAACAGGTCCGAGCGGTTGAAGGCAGGCCAGAATCGGTTGCGGGGGTTGGCGAAGTAGTGGCCTTCCCTGGCAGAGTATTCCGACGGGTTAAGGCCGACGAGCACGAGCTTCAAGCCTGGCGCGAGCAGGTCGGGCAGTGTACGCATGTCGTTCTGGCATTCGGAGCCAGAGACTGTTGCGTCATCCATTCTTCAGCCCCAGCAGGCGGGCGGCGTTGCCCCCCTGGATCAGGAATCGGTCTCTGTCCGACAATCCGCCCTCTTGAACTTCCGCGAGCGGTCGCGACTGCCGCATCAGTGGGTAGTCGGAGGCGAAAAGTATGTGGTCAGCGCCTACCAGATCGGCGACCACGCGATATATTCCGGGGAGGTATAGGAAGGGCGACGCTGCAGAATCGAAGTAGACATTGGCCAAGGCCTGCTTCACCTCAGGCATCAGGGAGTAAAACGGCAGTCCGCCGCCCCAATGGGCACAAATAATCGCGTTGTCGGGAAAGTTTTCGATGAGACCACCAACCTTCCCGGGCGTGGTCTTTCCCTTGCCTGGGTAAGAGTGCCCCACCGGTTCGGAGCAGTGAAAAAGGACAGGCAGCGACTTTGAGCGGGAAAAGTCCATCAGCGGCGACATGATTGCTGCGTCGGAGACGTCGAATCCCTGGGTGTCTGGGTGCAATTCGCCGAAGCCGCGCAAACCTGCCTCGGCGCACCGTATGGCTTCGTCGACAGCGGCATCGCCCCAGGCTGGATTGACCGACGCAAATCCGGTCAGGCGGTCCGGATAAGCGCTGACGGCCTCGATGATGTAGTCGTTGGCCTCTACGGCCACGCCGTAATTCTCCCACCCCATACCCATGACCACCGCGTGGTCAATCCCGTCACGATCCATGGCGGAGAGCAACTCGGATACCCCGGCGATGCGGGCGGAGGGGTCGGCCAGGATTTCTGCAAAGGTAGTATCGCGGAGGGCCAGTTCGTCGCGACGCTCGGCAAAGGAGGGAGGCAGGATGTGGCAGTGGGCGTCTACTATCATGTTTCGACGCGGAGGCCGGGGCATGAAGTATCAAACCCTCGGCGTTGACTCGCTAGTGATCCCGGCCGTTGTCGCTGAACTCGTTGTCACTGTAGACGGCGGTCTCGCGTCCCTGGAAAACATGCACGACGAAGTTATTGCGAATTATGCCAACGGCATCGGCTATATCTTCGTCCACCGAATCCATGATTTCCTGTATGGCCTGCTGGGTAAGGCTCTCGTCGACGGCCAGCGAGACGTGCACCATTTCTGCGGTGAAATGGATGTCGACCCGGCCAACGGTGCGGTCGAACTCGACAATGTTGTATGCCTCTGAGTACGGGGTACGGACTTCCCGTTCGAATGTGAAATCAGCCATGGTTAAACAGGCTCGCGCATACGGATTTTGTCAGGGCCTCACTTGGCCGTTTCCCATGATCACCCACTTATAGGAAGTGAGTTCCTTGAGGCCCATGGGACCTCGGGCATGCATCTTCTGGGTGCTGATGCCCACCTCTGCCCCGAGCCCGAACTGGCCGCCATCGGTGAACTGGGTGCTGGCGTTGACGTACACCGCGGCAGCGTCCACCTCGTCCAGGAAGCGCATTGCAGCCGAATAGTCCTCGGTGATGATGGCCTCGGAATGGCCGGAACCGTATGTTTCGATGTGCTCCAGAGCCTCGTCGAGGGAATCCACAACCTTCACTGCGGCGGTCAATGACAGAAACTCTCGTCCCCAGTCTTCTTCATGAGCGGGCTGTACCCATTTGCCTGCCTCTGGCCCAAGGATGGTCAGGGCACGGTTGTCACAGTGCAGCTCCACTCCCGAGGCAGCCAACCCGGCCGCGATGCGTGGGAGTCCCTCACCAGCGACGGACGAATGTACCAGCAGTGTGTCCAGTGCGTTGCAGATGTAGGGTCGGCGCACCTTGGCGTTGAGCGTGACGTTGGCCGCCATTTCCAGATCGGCAGCGCGATCAATGTAGGTGTGGCATACGCCGACGCCACCGGTGACTGCGGGCATTGTGGCGTTCTCACCCACGTATCGGACCAAGGCTTCGCCGCCGCGCGGGACGATCAGGTCTATATACTGATTCATCTTCAGCAAAGCATCGACAAGCGTGCGGTCCGGATTGTCGACAAACTGCACTGCATCAATGGGTGCCCCAGCGTCAGCCAAGGCGCGACGGATGAGGCGAATCAGCGCAGAGTTGGAGCGCAGGGCTTCCTTGCCGCCTCGGAGAATGCAGGCGTTCCCCGATTTGAAGCACAGGCCGAATATGTCCACGGTGACGTTGGGCCGGCTTTCGTAAATGCTGGCGATGACGCCCAAGGGGATACGGCGGCGACCAACGGACATACCGTTGGCCAGAATGCTCATCTCGATCGTTTCACCAACCGGATCCGGGAGGGATGCAACCTTGCGCTGCTCGGCTGCTGTACCCTGCAAGCGCTCAGGCGTGAGCAGCAGGCGGTCGATCATTGACTCGCTCAATCCCAAGGAACGGGACTCGGCGCAGTCCTCAGCATTGGCCTCCAGCAACTCGGCGGCATCACTTTCCAGCAACTCCGCAAGGTTGTGCAGAGCCTGGTTTTTGACGCCAGATGTCAGCCGAGCCAGCCGCCGGGACGCGCTGCGGGCAGACTGACCGAGGCTTAAGAGATCTTCGACGGTTCTGGTAGTCATGTCGTTCTCTATTTTCCAACTAGTGGCGGGGCGCAAACTAAAAGCAAGACTGTTTACAGCAGAACCAGGTTGTTGCGGTGAACGACTTCCTGGCCGTATTGGTAGCCCAGAGTTTCCTCTATCTTGTCTGAGCTGAGGCCACGAATGCGCTGGATATCAGTCGAACTATAATTGGCAATACCGCAGGCTATGCTCTGCCCGCTGCCGTCGCTGATGAACACGGTGTCGCCCCTGGCAAAGTCACCGTCCGTCTGCCGAACTCCGGCAGGGAGCAGACTCCGGTGGTTATCCCGCAAGGCGGTGACAGCGCCATCGTCCACCACCACTTTCCCCCGTTGGGAGATACCAGTCAGCATCCAGCGCTTGCGGGCTTCCAGCTTTCCTTCGGCGGGTTGAAAAAATGTCCCGACAGGCTCCCCCGCCGCGGCCCGAACAGCGGTTCCATCGTGCCGCCCGTGGGCCATGATCATTGGAATGCCGGATGTGGTGACCAGCCGGGCCGCCTCCAGCTTGGTGGGCATTCCACCCCTCGCCCAAGGTTGCAGGTGGCGTCCGGCCATTGCCTCAATGCGGTCGTCTATCCGCTCCACCCGTGGGATGAGGGTCGCCGACGAATCGACACGCGGATCGGCAGTGTAGAGGCCATCAATGTCGGTGAGGATCAGGAGCAGGTCGGCGTCTACCAGATTTGCGACCAAGGCCGACAGCCGGTCGTTGTCACCAAAAACCGCTCCGATTTCGTCCACCGCAACCACGTCGTTCTCATTCAAAAGAGGCACCACCCCCAGCTCCAGCAGTCCCTGCAGTGTGTTCCGCACGTTCAGGTAAGACTGCCGGTTGGACAGATCTCCAATTGTAAGCAACGCCTGAGCCACGGTAACACCGCGAGCAGCAAACTGCTCCTGGTAAATCTGCATGAGCCTGCTCTGGCCCACAGCGGCGGCCACCTGGCGCGATCGAATATCGCGCGACACCGGACCGTGCCGCCCCAGAGCCTCGCGCCCGGCGGCGATGGCGCCCGAAGTTACCAGCAAGACCTCGGCCCCCTGCTCTCGCAAGTGGCAGATCTGCCGCACGATGCTGCCGAGCACGGTCAGGTTTACGCCCGCGGTGTCTTCACCACCGCCGGACAGGATGGCGGTGCCGGCTTTCATCACAATGCGCCGGTAAAGTAACGGAGGCGATTCGCAAGAAACCGCGGCATCTGCCGACTGCCTTGCCGAGAGGCACGAGTTGGAGTGGGCCATCAATGTGCACCTGGAGGTATTCAAGGTTTGGCGGTGGAGGACAAAAATCGTTGAAATCGCCAAAACGCTTTATAATAATATAGGCTGTTTCGAATTAAGTCATTCCCGCCTTCGGCGCGTTCCGGTCCTTAAAGCGCACCCCACCGGACTATTTGCCTTTTGGGCTCGAGAGGACAATGTGCAGGTAAGGATCGCTTGAAAGGTGATTGGGCATGATTTAGGCTGGTTAGGAGGCCCTAGTCGGGCTGAAAGGTCAAGAGTGTGGAGGGTTGGCTATGGCCGACGTTGGAACCAGATTTTCCTGCTCCAAGTGTCACAACACCCAGTACGAAACGGAAGAAATACGCACAGCCGGCAAGTATTCCCGTTTTTTTGATATGCAAAACAAGAAGTTCATTGCTGTGTCCTGCACTCAATGCGGATACACCGAAATATTCCGTGGCGATTCCTCCAGGCTGGGGAATTTCCTGGATCTGCTTGCAAGCTGACAATCATCCAACAAGCCTGACCCGGGCTCTGAACAGGATTTGCTGAAGACACAGAGCGGCGGAATAGACCCAGGCTGCGAGCGCCGCATTTTTAGGGGGTTGGCTAAAGTACCAACTCCTCAATTGGCGTTTTCCTCGCCTTCGGAATTAACGGCAGATACTCGGTACGGCTATCCCACCGGCCATCAATCAGACCCTACTCGAGTGCACGGAATCGCTTAATGTCGCTGACCGGAATCCTGAAACTACTGGACCGTCACCCAGACTACTGCCGCGCCCTTGAAGAGGCGACGTCCGGCAAATCGGCCACGGTAACCGTACGGCAGGGCGCGCGGGCGGCGTTCATCGCCTCCATGGCCCAACGCGGGCAGGGACCGATCCTGGTCGTGGCCCCTCGTCCCGAGGACGCCCGGCGCCTGCACGACCAGTTGCTGAGCTGGCTCGGCGATGACGCTCCGGTGCATCTGCTGCCCGAGCCGGAAGTGCTGCCCTTCGAGCGGCTGTCCGTCGACGCGAACACCAGCAACCAGCGCCTGGCAGCCCTCGCCGCCCTGGCTACGACACGAGATACTGACGAGTCTGCTACCCCTGAGGAAGAGGCTTGCCAGCCGGTAGTAGTGGTTTGCTCCATCGGTTCAGCGCTGCTCTATACCGCTCCTCCCGACCTCATGGCAGGCCGATTGCCATCTTCGGGTGGTTCCAGCGTCTGGCAGGTCGGGGATCGTGTGAGACTTGACTCGGTGCTTTCCCAATGGGTGCAGCTGGGCTACCGGCACGAGCCTGTTGTGGACTCACCCGGGTCATTCAGCCACCGCGGCGGCATTCTGGACATCTACCCTCCCGACTGCGAGTTGCCGCTTCGCATTGAACTGTTCGACGATGAGATTGACACCATTCGCCGGTTCGATCCACTAACGCAGCGATCAGTTGGCTCTGCAGAGAAGGTGCGCCCGATTCCGGCGCGCGAGCAACTGCCTGGCGTGGATACCCAGGTCGAAATGAAAACCAGGGTCACCGCCATGGACTTTTCCAGGTGCGGGGATGCGGTCAGAGAGCGAATGGAGGAGGAGCTGCAGGCGCTAACAGATTCCAGCGCTCCCGAGACCAATCCGGAAATCCTCTCGTTCTACAGTGGTCTGATCAACCGCACGCCGCTCCTCGACTACCTGGGGCCAGGCGCGACGGTGTTGCTGGAAAGAGCCGGGCGCGTGGAGGCCGAGGCCTCGGAACTTGAGGAGCGCTTCGGGAGGATGCGTACCGCGCGCGAGGAACGGGGCGAATTGCCGGGTAACTTCCCCTCACCCTGCATGGGGTGGGAGGAATTCGCCGCCCGCCTTGGCGACCACAGCGTGGTGGAGTTGCAGACCTGGGTTGGAGAGGAGGACGATCGAATCTTTCGACCTGCAACCCCATATTATGGCCAGCTGGAGCAGCTGTGTGCCGACATCCAGGGTCGCCAGGGAGAGTCAGCGGCGACAGTTGCGGTGACGCAGCATGCCCGCCGGGTTGCCGAACTCCTGGAACAGCAGGGAATCAGCACCAAGCTGGCCGACGAGTTGGAGGATTCCCCATCTCCGGGTCAGGTATGCCTCATACCCGGCTCGCTGAGAGATGGATGGACCATCGAATTGCCGGCGATTCAGCCTGCCTCTGTCAAGCCCGGCGGACGGAGGAGCCGGGGGGCATCTCAGACACCTTTGGCCCGGCTGGACCTGCTGACCGATGTCGAGCTGTTTGGCACAGTCAAGGAGCGGCGTCAGCGACGGCCCCGCCGTGCCGAGCGCGGGCCGGACATCACCCTTGCCGATCTTGAGCCCGGCGTGTTTGTGGTCCACATCGACCACGGGGTGGCGCGTTTTGCCGGCACTACACATATGGGCGATGGCGCCGACGAACGGGAATACCTGGTGCTGGAGTATGCAGACAGCGACAAGCTGTACGTCCCCACCGACCACCTGAACCGCGTCAGTGCCTACGTGGGCGCGCAGGAACACGCGCCGTCGCTCACGCGGCTGGGAGCGGCCGACTGGACCCGCATCAAACAGCGAGTCAAGGGCGCCGCCCGGGAAATGGCGCAGGAACTGCTGAGAATCAACGCGGCGCGCGAGGTTGCGGAGGGCCACGAGTTCAGCCCGGACAGCAACTGGCAGCGGGAACTGGAAGACTCGTTCCCGTACATTGAAACCCCGGACCAAGCCCAAGCCATTGTCGACGTGAAAACTGACATGGAACGGTCTCGCCCGATGGACCGCCTCATCTGTGGTGACGTGGGATACGGCAAGACCGAGGTCGCACTGAGAGCCGCCTTCAAGACGGTGAGCGACGGGATGCAGGTAGGTATTCTGGTCCCTACCACGGTGCTGGCCCAGCAACACTACGCGACTTTTTCAGAACGACTGAGTCCTTTTCCGGTGCGGGTCGAGGTGCTCAGCCGATTCCGCACCCCCAAGGAACAACAACAAGTCATCGATGGTCTGAAGGCCGGCGAGGTGGACATAGTCATAGGCACCCACCGCCTGCTGCAAAAGGATGTACAGTTCAAGAACCTCGGACTGGCCGTGGTAGACGAAGAGCAGCGATTCGGCGTAAGCCACAAGGAGCGCTTAAAGCAACTTCGCCGACAGGTCGATATGCTGACCCTGAGCGCCACCCCGATTCCGCGCACGCTGAACATGGCTCTATCTGGCCTTCGGGACCTTTCCTCGATGTCCTCGGCGCCGGAAGCGCGCGTTCCGGTCAAGACCTTCGTCTCCGAGTATTCGGAGGACGTTGTCAAGGAGGCCATTCTGCGGGAGATGGAGCGGGGAGGTCAGGTCTTCTTTCTGCACAACCGCGTCAGGAGCATTCACCAGACGGCAGCGGAAATTCGGGAGATGATCCCAACGGCCCGCGTGATGGTCGGGCATGGCCAAATGGTAGAGTCAGAACTGGAAGACGTGATGATGGACTTTGCCAACGGCGAGGGGACGTGCTGGTCTGCACCACCATCATCGAGTCCGGCCTGGACATGCCCAACGTCAACACGCTGATCGTGGAGCGGGCCGACCGCTTCGGCCTGGCGCAGCTTTACCAGCTCCGCGGTCGCGTTGGCCGAGGCCAGCACCGGGCCTATGCCTACTTACTGGCGCCCCGGGGACGGCGCATAACCGAAGCCGCCGAGATGCGCCTGCAGGCAATTCTCGAAGCCTCGGAACTCGGCGCAGGTTTCCGCATTGCCATGCGGGACCTCGAGATTCGGGGCGCGGGCAACATCCTTGGCGCCGACCAGAGCGGCCATATCCAAGAGGTCGGCCTCGACCTCTACACGCAGCTATTGCACGAAGCGGTCCGCGAGTTGGAAAGGGAACAAGGATCTTCAGACGCGCCTCGGACGGAGTCAGCTTTGGAGGAGTCGACGAGAATCGAACTTCCTCTGAACGCAGGCATCCCGGAGGACTACATCAAGCACCTGCCGACTCGATTGTCGGTGTATCAGCGGCTGGCCAGACTGACCGAGCGCCGCGAACTACCCGAGATACGGGAGGAACTGCGCGACCGTTTCGGGCCCATCCCAGAAGAGGTGGAAAGCCTCCTCAAAGTCTCCGAGATTCGTGCAATAGCAGGGGCAGCAGGGGCTGAGTCGGTAATCCGTTCCAGCGAGTCCATCGTAATAACATTGAGGAATGCGGTCGGCGGTGCGAAAGCTCCTCTGCAGCGCGCGCTGGGCCCGGCAGCCCAGGTGGGCAACGCCCAGATCCAGATGCCGCTCCGTCCCCTGGGAGACCAGTGGCTGTCCCGTCTTACTCGTACACTGGAACGGTTGCAGATCTTCATGGACAACATGCGTCAGCTAGCCACAGACGCCGTCAGGGTTTAAACGTGGCACCATCGCTTGCACGGCTTACCCAAATCGATGAGCAAGGAAGTGCGGAAGGATGATCAGAATTTCCTGGACCGTGGGAATTGCAGCGGCACTGCTGGTGGCGTTGATGCTGACAGTGGCCTGCGGGGGAGGCACTTCCGTCGACAACGCCGACCAGGGTGAGGACTCGGCCACCTCCACATCTCCTGAATCAAATGGAGACAGCGCCAAGGACCTTGCTCCAGACTTTGAAGTCATCGTATCGCAAGGAAATGACATCCTAGGCGGTGACCAAGTTGCGATGGCGTCACTGGTTGGCGAAAAACCTGTTGTGCTCAACTTCTGGGCGGCGGAATGCCCCCCGTGCCGCGCCGAGTTACCAGAGTTCCAAGAGTTTCACGAGGAGTACGGCGACCGCATCCTCGTGCTGGGCGTTGACCTAGGCCAGTTCACCAACCAGGGTACGCCCGAGCAGGGCAGAGAACTACTGACCGAGTTGGATGTCCACATCCCTGCGGGCTACACCGAGGATTCGCAGATTTTGCCCAAATACCGGGTGCTGGGCCTGCCCACTACCGTTTTCATCAACGCTGACGGTTCCATCCACAACAAGTGGACCGGCGCACTGAATAAGGAGACTCTCATCGAGAAGGGAGAGGAGATGCTCGGGCAGTAGCTGGTGCTTGCGGAACAGGGGCGCGAAAACCGTGGGCCGGTATCGTGGCCAGTTTGCATTTCCGGGTGTTTGATAAGCAGGCGTATGCTAAAATAATAGGGTCGGGGTGTAGCGCAGTGGCTAGCGCGCTACGTTCGGGACGTAGAGGCCGGTGGTTCGAATCCACTCACCCCGACCAGGGATTTCAAGGCAGCGGTTGATCAGCGTGTCATCCCTCTCTCAGACGGAGAGGGATTTTTGTTGTGCTATTATTTGCCCGGCCCGCATCCACGATACAGATTGGTCAAAAGAAAAGGAGGCACGCTCATGCCCTTCGGAGGCAACGACTGGCTCGCCTTGACACCAGAGGAGGCTCTGGAGCCCGAAATCCCCATCTGCGATCCGCACCATCATTTCTGGGACTACCGTACCGAGCGCATTCCGTTCCAGCGCTACCTGCTCCACGAACTGGCCGACGACGTGAACGGCGGCCATAACGTTCGATCGACAGTCTTTGTGGAAGCACGCTCCATGTACCGACCCAGCGGCCCTGAGGAGATGCGTCCGGTGGGCGAGGTAGAGTTCGTGCAAGGCCTGGCCGCGGCAAGCGACACCGGGCTCTACGGACAGTGCAAGGCTGCTGCAGCCATAGTGGGACACGCCAACCTGAATCTGGGCGAAAACGTCCGGCCGGTGCTGGAGGCACTGCAGGCTGCCAGCCCCAACCGCTTCCGCGGCATTCGGCACTCGGTTACATGGGACCCGCACCCCGAAGTGGAAAACACCGCGGCACACAAGGCCGAGGGCCAGATGAGCAGCGACAATTTCCGCGCCGGAGCCAACGTGCTGGCGGATATGGGAATGACTCTGGAAGGCTGGATGTACTTCCCGCAGATGCAGGAGTTGGCAGAATTCGCCCGAGCTGTGCCGAACCTCACTATCATCCTGAACCACATCGGTGGGCTCCTGCGGGAGGGTCCCTACGCAGGCCGCGACGATGAGATATTCGATCAGTGGCGCAAGGGTATTGCGGCCGCCGCATCGGCGCCCAACGTGGTAATAAAGCTCGGCGGAATCGGTATGCCTCGCACCGGCTTTGACTGGCATACACGCACCAAGCCCGCCAGGTCTGAGGAACTTGCAGCTGATATGAAACCGCTGATCGATTACTGCATCGACCAGTTCGGCCCCAACCGCTGCATGTTCGAGAGCAACTTCCCGGTGGACAAGGTTTCCTACTCGTACACCGTGATGTACAACGCCTTCAAGAGGCTGACCACGCAGTATTCGGCCTCAGAGCGCGCCGACATGTTCCACGACGTTGCCGCTCGGGTGTACCGGATCGAATACTGACGTTGGTGTTTTCCTAGCGCGGCTTTCGCCTTCGTGCGTGAAAGGAGGCCCCACCCTTTGACCGGCCTTTTCAACGGGGCCGGTTAATGATAAGTTAACGCGGTGTTTTCCGTGCGAAACGGGTATAGGGTGCTATTCATTTACGGCCCTCGATCTCCTGCGGGGGCCGTTGTTTGTAAAACGGCTCGCTTGTTGAGGCAGGATTGGCGGCTACAATTCCGGTATTAACTGAATGATGAAGGTCGTACCTATTTGGTAATTGCCGTAGCATTCATATTGATGACCGTCTTCTTCATGGCGGGCCTGTACGTGGCGGGCGCGCTGGGAACACTAGCCCTGCTGCTGATGGAGATTTACTCCCAAGCGCCGTTGTCCAACATTATGGCCAACCGGGTTTGGGAGACCTACACCAGGTTCCTGCTGGTAGCCATCCCACTGTTCATTCTCATGGGTGAACTGGTCCTTCGCAGCGGAATAGCAGACCGAATGTACCGGGCGCTGGATCGCTGGGTAGCACCCATCCCCGGCGGGCTGTTGCACACGAACATCGTTTCCTGTGCGATCTTCGCAGCCTGTTCAGGCTCGAGCATTTCCACAGCCGCCACGATCAGCCGCGTGGCGCTACCCACTTTCCACACCCGGGGCTACAACGACCGACTGGTGGTTGGTTCGTTAGCTGCGGGTGGGACCCTGGGCATCCTTATACCGCCCAGCGTTCTGCTGCTTATCTATGGTCTCAGCACAGGTACCTCGATCGGCCGCCTGTTCCTTGCGGGTTTTATCCCGGGGGCAATAATGGCCCTGACTTTCATGGCGTTCATCGCTTTTGCCGCCATTGTCTGGCCAAGGGTTGCACCACGGACCGAGGGAGAAACCTTTCTAAGCTGGCAGGGATGGATTGACCGCATAGCTGGCTCTATTGCAGTGGGGCCGGTGGTAATTCTGATCCTGGCAGTGCTCGGATCAATCTACGGAGGCATAGCAACTCCCAGCGAGGCCGCTGCCATCGGGGTCTATGGGGCGTTCGTTCTGGCGTTTCTGTACAACTCGAAAGCACTCTGGCTACCAGTGTTTGCAGGCTTTCTTCGCATCACTGGGTTGATCAATTTTTACGAATTTGTCCGCCTTGCAATCGGAATCACCGTGGGCGCCGTGGTGTTGCATCTCACCGCCCAGACAGTGTACCTGGTGTTCTTCCCAAACCAGTCTCTATTCGTGTCGCCAGACATCGCTGAGGCTATCTTCCTTCTTGAGGTGCTGATCCTTCCGCTGGCCGGTTGGGTCTTCATTCTGGCCGAAGTATCGAGAGAGGAAATGCTGGACACGCGGATGCCGTCATACGTTCAATTCAACGCGGTCATGCGCGGAAACATTGCAATGATGCGAGAGGTATTCCTGTCCACCATGCGCACCACTTGCATGATCATGTTCATCTTGATGGCTGCGTTCACACTGCAGTTCGCCTTCGCTTACCTTCGCATATCTCACGCCCTTGCTGACCTCGTTGTTAGCTTGGACCTGAGCCAAATGGAACTGGTAGGCATCCTGATCGTCTTTTACCTCTTGCTGGGAACATTCATGGAGAGCTACTCCATGCTCGCCACCACGCTTCCCATATTGATAGAAACGCTGTTCCGCTCCGGAATCGATCTGCTGTGGTTCGGCATCATCATGATAATACTTCTGGAGGCGGCGCAGATCAGCCCGCCTCAGGGCCTCTCTCTGTACGTTTTGCACGGCGCCCGCCGGGAGACGGCAGATGTACGGGGAGTAACCGATGGAGAGACGATAAACGACGTTTACATTGGGGTTTTACCGTTCATGGTATGTATGGCAGTGGTTATCGGTATCCTCATGGTTTTCCCTGAGCTAGTCACGTGGTTGCCGGATCAAGCTAAAGGGGCCCGTTGAACACTCCCGCTTTGCGCCGTCCGATATTCAGAAAGTTTCACCAATGACCAGTTTCGATCATTTCATCAGAGAATCATTGAAATCCGAAGCAGACCATGCAGAGTCTCTTTTTGGTACAAGTCCACAGTGTCGCCAATTGCAAATCTGGTGCTTTTGATCCTACGCATTTCCCGACATCAAAATGGCCTGCGCTCTCGAGTCATTCCCAAGCCTTGGCCAATTTGTGGAATCAGGAATGCGGACTGAAAAGGTAACTGCCATAAGTTTGCCCAGCATTCGACTGATAGTTCCCATACTCGCTGTAGCCGGACTACTAGTTGGGCTTGCCGCTTGTGGAGGCAATGATCCTTCACCGTCGTCATCGCCTGTTGTGGCCCCCGCTCCCACAGACACACAGCCACCGGGAACAGAATCCTCTGGCGCGCCTGCCAAGACGGAGACGCAGGAAGCGGAGCCGGCAACTCCCGAACCTGCAGCCACCGAGGAACCGGCTTCCACCCGACCTCCGGCAACGGGGGCCCCGGTGCCCGCTGCTACATCAGTGCCGACTACACCCGCCGACATTTCCGACGTGGAAAAACTGACTACATACGCGGCAGAACACGCAAATGGGCCCGGTGCCATCTTCGTTGGCGACCCCGCGCACCTGATTGGACCGCCGCCCCACGAGGGCCTGATGTTCCAGTTCCCGGAAGAGTCGTACACCCAGGTATCGGGTCTGGGGCTGATGGGGTCAGCGGAGCTGATGGTTCCCAGCCACTTGTTCATATATACCAGTGACTACTACCAAGGACTGATCGCAAAGGCCAATCTGACCAGTCCTACGGAATTGGTCTCATCCGAAGAGGCCATCGAAATCCAACATGTGTGCCTCGACCGGAAGCTCGCACCTTGCGTCCTGATCCAGGCCTACATGGCACCCAATCTGGCAAAACGGAACAACGGACAGGTCAGAATCTCGGTGATATCTCTCGCAGAGCTTGCGATAGAGGGACCAGACACGCTGACACAGGTCAGCGACGGCACGCTGGATATGGTTAACATCTTCACCGGCTATGTGGCCGGGGAGGTCCCTTCCCTTGAGGTGCAGTCCCTCTGGGGGTCAGCGCCGGACTGGGAAACCTCGTACCTGACCCTCACGGCGTTAGCAGAAGATGTCGACCGTCTGATAGAAGATGCCACGGACGGCAGCCTGGTGCTGAACCGCAACTGGTTTGCCGGCTCCGACCAATGGATGTACAGTGCCAAACCGCTCCAAACCGTGGATGATTACAGCGGCCTCGAGATACGCACCAATTCGGCTTCGATGTCTGACTTCATCACCGGGATGGGCCGAAAACCAGTCTTCTACTCCATCGCCGAACTGTACACGTCGCTGCAGCAGGGAATTGTGGATGCAGCAGCCTATGGCGCTCTCCTGGCAGTTTCCGCGAGGCTGAGCGAAGTTACGGACTTTATGTCGGACCAATTATTGGATTCGGCTACACAAACAACGTCATCAACAAGGATGTGTGGAACGATATTCCACCTGACTTGCAGCAGATCATGATCGAGGAAGGCGCGAAGGCGGAACTGGAGGGCTTGCGGCTGGCTCCATTCCAGAATGTGGCCGCGGTTCAGATAAACACGCAGCTTGGAATGCAGCCCATTCCCTTTTCCCCAGAGATTTACGACCACATTCAGACCGTGGTCCTTCTTGAGTATGTTATTCCAGGATGGCTTAGGCGGCTCGGATTTCCAGAGAGAAATGCTGACATAGTGGACATTTACAACGAGAAAGCGAGTCCATATTCGGGCGTTTGGATTAATGGCGACGGTTCAACCAAACATGTCCCGATAACCAAGGGGGCTCGGGCCAGCCAGTAGATATGGCCCCTACTCAATTTTGTGCCCGCTGAGAACCGGCAGGCAAAGGCCAGTTCCAAACACAAGACCACGCCCCTAAACGGGGTAACATATAGGAGGTAACCCAGAGGATGATCCATTCCAGACTAATGGTTGGCGCCCTGCTGATTCTCACGATGCTGCTGTTCGCGGGTATCGCGGCCTGCGGCGAAGCAGCAACTTCAGAGCCAGCCACCGAGGCACCCCCTGCCACAACCGCCCCAGAACCTACGGCAGTACCAACCGAAGAACCAACGGCCATGTCCGAAGAGCCGACTGAATCAGCCGACGAAGATTCGTCCATGATGATGCGGGACGTCAGTGACGCACTGCAGTCATTCGCGGAGGACAGCGCCGGCGGCCCCGGGGCCATCTATGTGGGCGACATCAACCAGCTGGTCGGCCCGGCCCCGGCGAAAGCGGATGGAAAGCCGGACACCGATCTGGGAGACCTTAACGGTAACGTCCCCCTTGACGCGCTGGAGGACCATCTCTGGCTGTATAACAGCGACTACTACTGGTCGCTGATAGAAAAGGCGAAGCTCACCGACCCCACGCCCCTTACCTCCACCGGGCAGAGCTTTGACATCCAGCACGTCTGCATCAACCGCTCCCTGCTGCCCTGCAAGATCATCGAGCAGCATTGGGCTCCCAACGTGGAAGCCCGCACTAACGGCCAGCTCACCATCACCGTAAGCTCCTTCCCGGAGCTGGGCCTGGCCGGGCCGGACACACTGCAACTGGTGTCTGACGGCACCGTCGCCATGGCCAACATCTACACCGGCTACGTCGCAGGCGAGCTGCCCGCCATCGAGGTGCAGTCTCTCTGGGGCATCTACCCCGACTGGGAAACTATGTACCTGTCGTTGACAGATATGCACCCGCAGCTGGAGGATTTGGTCGTAGAGGAAACCGGCGGCGGCATCATCGTCAACCACAACTGGTACTCCGGCAACGACCAGTTCTTCTTCAGCAAGAAGGCCCTGCGAACTCTTGCAGACTTTGAGGGGCTGAAGACCCGCAGCCACGCCGCCGCTCTTTCCGACTGGATTCAGGGCATGGGCGCCGAAGCCCAGTTCGTGGCCTTCTCTGAGGTCTACACCGCCCTGGAGCGCGGCATCCTTGACGCCGGTGTTACCGGTTCCACACCCGGCCATGGGCAGCGCTGGTACGAGGTCACCACATACCTGAACGGACCTCTGAAGAGCCTACTTTCCACCAACAACGTGATTAACGCTGATGTCTGGGAGGAAATCCCCGAGGACCTGCAGCAGATCTTCATCGAGGAAGGCGCCAAGACCGAGCTGGAGCAGCTGCGCCTGACCTCCATTCAGAATGTAACCGGCGTCCAGAAGAACATAGACGCTGGTATGGAACTGGTGGAATTCTCCCCGGAACTGGCTGACCACAGCCTGAATGTGGCTGTCATTCAGCACGTCATCCCGGGTTGGCTCAACCGTGTGGGCTACCCCGAAAAGGGTGAAGAGGCCGTAGCCATGTTCAACGAGCACGTCGGCCCCTATGTCGGCCTGAGCGTTGGCGCCGACGGCACGGTCAGCCCCGCACCAATCACCAAGGGCCCGCACGCACAGTAGGGGTCCACTCCGAATTGACTCAGCGCCCCTCCGGCCACCATGGAGGGGCGCTATGATCTCGCCTGTATCGGATTATTGCTGCTATTGGTCGTCTGGCGGGCACGCCGATTTCCCAAAGATGGACGACAGTCCACGCATTTCCTGAGAATCCTCGCTGAACGCTGCCCGACCTGTCACAGCGCCGTACGCCCCAAGATTCATCAGCCATGGCGCCCGTTAGTACTCTCCGGTCAGGGCACACCTCAATGGCGACGTAATAATTGGGACAAGAGGGATTGCGCTGGCGGAAAATTCGTGTATTATTGCCAAACGTAAATATGGGAACTGCAACCGCCCGGGCGACCTGATATCGCAACCAAAAACTAGCTAAGGCGGCAGGATCACTATTATGGCATTGACGATTCCACGATTGCTTGGCGGCCTATTTTTAGGTTGGGTAGTGTTCATCGCGGTGTTATTGCTCTTCCTTCTCAAGATCTCAGTGCCTATCGAGATTACTGCGGTCTTCTCTCTGCTATTCATCCTTTTCCTGGTGTGGCTGCCATTGTCCGCTTGGACTCTGGGTGCCCGCGACGCCTTGCTGTTCACTAGAACAATCAGCCAGGTTTTCGACAGGCTTTACTTCATCCTGGGGTACGTTTGTGGCCTCGAATTGCTGCTACTGGGGTTTTTCATCACCTACCAGGTGGTGGCGCGCAAACTGGACTGGATCCAGGCCCCAGGTACAGACGTGATGAGCGGCTACGTTTTGGCAATGGCTGCTACCTGGGCATTCTCATACTCACTCCGCTCCGGCGCCCACGTGCGTATTGACGTTCTGCTGCCGTATATGGGGCAGAAGACCCGATCTACTGCCGACTGGATGGCCATGGCGGCTGTGCTTTTCCTGGGCTGGGTAACGATGTGGAAGATGTGGGAGACGGTGGCCAACAACTACACCCGCGGTGTGGTGACCAACGACTATCCGCTCACACCGCTGTTCATTCCCAAAATCGTCGTAGCCCTAGGCTTTACCTTGCTGTGCGTGACCGCCATACACATGATGTATTTAATGGTGGCGGAGTTCGTGCTCACCAACGTGAACCGTCTCCAGGGTGGCGAGGAAATCGAGGCTCTGGAAGTCCTTACCGGAGAGGCTGCTGGTGCGGCCGATTAGCGGACGACAACCGCAACTGCTCCAATCCACCCTGCCGATTAATTTGGCGTGAGAGGTTAAGCCGTGGCAATTGGCGTCGCATTTGGACTGATGGGGGCCTTCTTCCTGGCGGGGATGTATGTCGCAGCCGCGCTGGGTACTCTGTCCTTGATCATGATGATGTTCTTTTCTGATGCTCCCCTGTGGAACATCATGGCGAACAAGTCGTGGGAGGGTAATACCAGCTTTATTCTGGTGGCTGTGCCGCTGTTCATCCTGATGGGTGAGCTGATGAACCGCAGTGGCATGGGTGAGCGCATGTACGCCGGCATCACCCGATGGATCTGGTGGCTGCCCGGCGGGCTGATTCACACTAACATCGTCTCCTGCGCAATCTTTGCGGCCTGCTCAGGCTCGAGCGTGGCAACCTCCGCCACCATCAGCAGGTGTCGCTGCCGAGTTTCCGGCAGCGCGGTTACTCCGAGCGCATGGTGATCGGCTCCCTAGCTGCCGGCGGAACCTTGGGCATCCTGATTCCCCCCAGCATCAGCCTTATCATTTACGGTGTGCTGGTGGAGGAGTCCATCGGACGCCTTTACATGGCCGGGTTCGTTCCCGGCATGGTCCTCACGGGGTGTTTCATGCTCATGATTTTGACCTTGGCGGTAGTCTGGAAGGGCTTGGCGCCACGCGAGCATGGCGACAGCTTCATCACCGTGCAGGGTTGGTTAAACCGACTTGTTGGCTCCATTTCTCTCATACCGATAGTCGCACTGATTATCGTGGTGATCGGGTCCATATACGGAGGTATCGCCACTCCCTCGGAGGCGGCAGCGTTCGGGGTGTATGGGGCCTTCGTCCTTGCGTTTATTCTGAACACGGAAGAGGTTCTGCTTCCGATGTTCGGCGGAATGATGCGGTCGCTGGGCCTGATACACGTGTCCACGATGGTGAAATGGGTGCTGGGCCTACTGGTGGCCATACTGCTACTGCATCTCATGCTGCAGATAGGCTGGGCACTCAGAGGGTTCGATCTGGGTGACCCCGACATTCCTTTGGCCGCCATTGTCGGTGAGAAAATATTCCTGATCGAAGTGGTTATCGTGCCGTGGACCGGTTGGGTACCGTTCCTAGTCAGTGCGCCGCAAGAGCAACTTAGACAGGCTCGGTTCCCCGATAGTGCCCTACAGAGGCAAATCTTCAGGCGTAACTTCCTCATTGTTCAGGATGCCTTCATTTCAACCGTCCGTACCACAGGAATGATCTTCCTGATAGTGCTGGCGCCTTCACCATGTCGTTTGCGTTCGCCCGTTTGGGTATCTCGCAACAGATTGCCGAAGCGATCTCCGGTCTGGGTTTGAACGACTGGCAGTTGGTTCTGGTTCTGGTAGTGTTCTACCTGGTGCTGGGCACCTTCATGGAAAGCTTCGCCATGATGGTAACCACGGTGCCCATCCTGTTACCCACTCTGGAGGGCGCAGGTGTCGATCTGGTCTGGTTCGGCGTAATCATGGTGCTCCTGGTGGAAGCAGCCCTGATCAGCCCGCCCGAGGGAATCAACCTCTACGTGCTCCACGGTGTACGTCTGGACGTGGACAGGGAGCAGGCCGAAGCCGCCAACGAGGTGTTGGAGGAAAGCACCATTGCCGATGTTTGGATAGGGGTACTGCCTTTCATGGGTTGCATGGCCATTACCACTGCACTGGTGCTGATGTTCCCTCCCATCGCGCTGTGGCTGCCGGATGCAATCTACGGGGCAAGAACCTGATCCCAGCCATACTTCCAACGGGACAATGAACAAGGGCGGGTATTGATACCCGCCCTTTCTGTTTCTGAGCGACTGTCTCACCGTTCCGAATTGAACGACGCTGGTACGGAAATGGCGGTTTTAAGCGAAGCCTATCCCCATTCCAATTGGGCTGGACAATGCGTCTCATATGGCAAAACTACGGGGGCGGGAATTATTCCCGCCCCCGTTGAGGTTCGTCGCCTGGCCAAAGGGAACTGCCGTTACTGGTTGGTGTCAGTGACCTCGAAGTGCTTCACCCAGAACTCGCCTCGGTACAGGTTTTCGACTTCCTGCGCCATGTTGCGGCGAATGTCGCTCCGCTCATAGCGAAGGAGCGCCTCCTCGCTTTCCCAGACGCTGAGACTCAGACCTTCGTCGGGGTCCTCGGTGCTACGCAGGAGCAGGCGTTTGCGTAGGCCATCCACCGAAGTAGTGGTCTGCTCCACCTGGCTGCGGTAGTAATCTTCGTACTGGTCCCAGGAACCGAGGCGAAGCTTGCCCCAAGCCATCATCAGGAAAGCTCCCTCTGCGGTTCCCTCTCCGCTGGACGATACGATTTCAAAGTGCTTGATCCAAGTCTCGCCTCTGGGATAGGCCATGGGATAGAAGAAATCCTCAGCCTGGCTGGCCAACTGCCGACGGGCGTCGCTGGTCTCGTAGTTGCGAAGCTCCTGCAGCGACGCCCATACGCTCCAGAAGCCCATCTCGTCGGGGTCCGACGCGCCGCGCCAGAGTTGGCGCTCCTGCTGCCCCGGCATTCCCATGGTGAACGGAATCACCTTGTCGACATAGAACTCCCTCAGATTGTCCCAGGCGCCCGGACGCGCCCTTCCCCATGCCAGTTGTACGTACATTTTTCACGCCTTTAATCAGTTCGCCGTTTTCCGGTCCGCGGGTTGGGATTCTATAGCAGAAATACCCTTTCGTCGATAAGCTTAACTGCCAGGGGAGTAACGTCAGCCTTGCTCTCGGACACCCGCTCCGGCCGGAAGGAGTAGTACCTGACCCCCGCGAATGGCATCGAGTACCGCCACTCCATTGCCCTACCCCTCCGCTGCGATTCCCGTGGCGGTAAGGCGGGCTCTACCGGGATATCCACCTTGGGCTCCAGAATCGTAACCATTACACACCTCCAGACTTTTGTGCAGAGATGACAACCAACCGGACAAGCGGTTCACCACCCGCCGGGATGGCCTATCCATAGCAGTTTCCGTCCGGGCAAGGTTTATGTACGAACTGGACTAGTCCTCCTCCCCCTCCGCATCTCCGCTGTCCATATCAAATTCACGGCTGACGCTCGCACCCAGTTCGATCAGGGTCCGGCTGTATCGGTTGGCGAACAACTGCGCCGTGGCTGCGTAGATACCACGGCCGATGGCGGCGTCCTGCGTGCAGAGGTCCAGCAGAGGAGCCCGGGGAATCTGCAGGAGCGTCATCGGCGTCAGTGCGGAACCTGCGGTTATCAACGTACCCTCACCCAGCAGAACTGCCTGAGGAAAAGATTCGCCCGGACCTGCAACCCTGACGGCGATCCGCCCAATCTCAACGAGGGCGGTCAGCTGGGCCTCACCCTCCTGTATAACGAACAGGTTCTGTCCAGCCTCACCGCCGGCTCCCAAGGTTTCACCTTCTCTTACGGAGACCAGGCGCCCCAGCGAGACCACTGCGGAGATCTGCTCACGCGACAGCCGCGCGAACATATCGACCATGCTGTAGTCGAATTCCTGTACTGGCTCAGACTCGTCACGATCGCTCCCGGGGGACAGATCCTCGGGTCTGAACACCCGCACCGGCATCACCGAGCGTCGCTCCACTTCGCGCGCCACGCTTCCCTTGACCAGTCGTGCCAGGCCGCGGCGGTCATGCGTAAACATTGAAATCAAGTCAACAGCGTCCGGTTGGCGTACGACACTATCGCGGCTGGCACAGAATCGTTGACAACAACGGCCGTCGTCGCCAGGACCGAGGACTCTTTCAGGCGGTTGGCGACGCGGTTAAGGTAGGCAAGGGCCCGGGCTCGATCTTCCTCTTCCTGCTGCGAGCCCAGAATTACCAACTCTCCTATGGAACGAGTGCGGCCGGGAGGAATGACGGTCAGCAGAGTGGCTGTCCCATCGTCATTGACCAACTTGGGGACTACGTCAAGAATTCCCTCGGACTCAGCCGATCGGTCCAGCGGCACCAACACGTTTTGATACATTCGGAAAACTCCAAGAATGAAAAGCTATCCCCCCTGAAATAAATTGGACCCTAGATATTGCATCCAATTATCAGATAACTAACATTCTATTTACGCATTACCGGACGGTCAACAATGTGCCAACAATCACAAATTTGCGAGGCCAATATTGGTGCGCGAAAATTCCCTGACTCCTTTGTTCAAAACCTGGAGCAAAAGGGGGAGAGCAGGGCTATCGCAATCTGGCTGGAGACTTTCCGTGGCTGCGCAGGGAACCGAGTACAACTATGCGGGAGGAGCCGACCTGAGGGGGAATGAGGAGTGTCAGTGGGAATGATGGGTCGGAATATGTCCCACGGAGTCCCATAATGTCCCATTTTGACCCCTGAATCGCGCTATTTTGTATCTGAGGGGGACCTTGCGGGACAGAAATTTTTGATTTCCGTTCCATTTTGTCCCATTCCGTCCCATTCCTGCTTTTTCTGCGATTTGGGCAGGCCATGTCTCTGCTGCTGTCGGCTGGCACCAGGCCGGACGCAGCATGACCAACACGGGAATCGAGGGTGATTTATGGAACACATGATCATATAATATCCGGGCGCCAAGAGACTTGGCAAGCGGCAAAAGTCATCAAGAAATCGAAATGCATCCGCCCCAGAGGGGAGGCGGTTAGATCTTTCCGACCATGCTCTGCAGGAACGCTCGCGTTCGAGTGGCGGAAGTCTGGGAGCCGTCGACAGGGAAGATAGTGGCGAGCAGGTCAGTGGTGCCGATTTCCGCGAGGTACCGTAGCTGGTCCTCCACCTCCGCCTCGTCGCCCACGATGGCTATCCCGCCTGGGCTGTCGACGCCCTCACGCTCCAGCATTGCGCGGTAATTTGGGAGTGCTGCGTAGTGCTGGAACAGCCGGTCCGCTCGAGCACGAGCTCTTTCCTCGTGATCGGTGACCGCTATCGGCACGCCCACGCAAACCCGGGGCTTGGGGTTACCCGCAGCAGAAGCTGCCTCCAGGAGTCGCGGTACGACGTGGTCACGAACGGTGGCCGGACCCGTCATCCATGTAACCGCTCCGTCAGCGAGCCGACCGGCGATCTCAAGCATGCGCGGGCCCAGAGCGGCCATTACCACCGGACAACTAACCATATCGGCATCTGGAATCTGGAGCTCTCCAGCAACACGGAACTCCTGGCCAGAGAAGTCGACGCTGCTTTCGTTGAGAAGAGGGCGCAGCACCGACATGTACTCCTCCATGTGCCTCGCGGGACGGGAGTAGGCCAGACCCAGCCAATCCTCTATGGTGGAGCGATGGGAGACGCCGATACCCAGTGTGAGCCGTCCGCCCGCTGCCACCTGGGCGGTAAGAGCCTGCTGAGCCAACACAACAGGATGACGGGGGTAAGTGGCCACCACAGCGGTGCCCAACTCGATTCGGTGAGTCTGCATTCCGGCCATGGCAATTACCGTGAGCATGTCCGCCCCGAAATGCTGGGGCAGCCAGTAGCTGTCGAAACCGTCTCGCTCTGCAGCGGAAATGCGGTGCAGTCGTTCCGCCACATCCCGCATAAGCTCCAGAGCACCAACAAACAGCCCTATACGCATGGCGGCACCTCCCCGTAGCTCCTCCGGGGCCTCCATTTCTCTTGTCGCCACCAGTGCCCCCAGAGGTCAAAAACAGTCTAGCATACCGTCCTCGCGTCGGGCGGATTGACTAGAGATTGCGCCGATAGTAGGCTACGGACGGACTGAACCGATTGCCAACCTTCCGAGGCCGAAACGGCCACGGGAGGACTAATCTGTGGAGGCTGCAGCGAAATGAGTTACCAAGGAATGATGGCCGAAACGGTCTTGATGAAAGGACACGAAGGCGACATGATCGACGCCTACCTGGCCCGCCCGCTGGGAGGGGGCCCGCATGGTGGGGTGGTCCTGATACACCACATGCCAGGCTGGGACGACGCCTCAAAGGAGATGGCCCGCAAGCTGGCTTACAACGGCTTAGTTACCATCTCCCCCAACCTGCACTTCCGGGAGGGGAAGGCTACTCCGCAGGAAAACAGCACCAGCATCCGGGAGAAAGGCGGGATGCCTGACGTCCGAACAATGGGAGACGTCGAGGCCGCGATGGCCTACCTGCGGACTTTGCCCTATCTGAACGGCAAGGTGGGACTGATAGGATTCTGCTCCGGTGGACGCCAGACCTACCTGGGCGCCTGCACCCTGGATGGCGTCAACGCCGCAGTGGACTGCTGGGGCGGCGGCGTGACCCAGGGCAACGACCAGCTCACCCCGGCCATGCCCGCGTGGCCGGTGGACTTCACCGAGGGCTTGAACTGCCCGCTACTGGGACTGTTCGGCAACGATGACCCTCGTCCCTCTCCGGCAGATGTGGACGAGACCGAGGAGGCCCTGAAGAAACACGGTAAGAACTACGAGTTCCACCGTTACGACGATGCGGGCACGG